GCTCTGCCTCATTTAAATCCTGTGCACCCGCAAGTCAAGATATCCCTGATGTCATCGCTGCTCTTCAAGAACAAAGATGGGGGCAGGTAGGTGACACAGTGGATAGAGCACAGGCCCTGGAATCAGGAGGACCTGAGTTCAAATCTGGCCTCAGACACTTAATACTTACTAGCTGTGTGACCTTGGGCAAGTCACTTAACCCCATTGCCTAGCCAAAAAAACCCCAAACAAACAAACAAACAAAAAATGAACAATAACGACGAGAGTATAGTGCCAGGTGCTAGACATACAAGGACATAAATGAAATGGACCCTGTTCTCAAGAGGGGCAGACAACATGTGTACATAGAAGTATATACAATGGAGTTTTTGTTGTTATTATTGTTGTTTTTTTATCAGAACTGTGATTTCAATAATTTAGGGAGTGCCATGTAAAAAGCAATACAGATGAGCCCCTTGGAGAGTTACCTAGGACACTGAGAAATGACTTACCCAAGGTCTCACAGGTACCACATGTTAGTTGCAGGACTTGGGCCCAGATCTCCTTGCTGTTGAGACTTATCCACTCTGCCATACAAACTATATCCTATACATACATACATGTATCTCTATACAAACTATGTCCAGAATAAATAGAAGGTAATTTGGGTGGGGGTGGGGGTAAGGAAGCCCTAGCAGCTGGAGGCGTCAGGTGAGTCTCTTCGTGTCTCTTGGTTTCCATGTCCTTGTTTGTGTTGGTTTCAAAGCTCCCTTCCAAGTCTAAGACACCATGAATCTGCCTCTCTCATCACTCAAGGGGGTGGTTAGGTGTCCGTGGAACTGGATAGCCACTTCGAGAGAAGTGTGCCTCCCCCTTCTCAGTATTCTAAAGCCCTGCTTTCAATAAAGATTGAAGCTAGCACCATGAAGAGAGAAATCGATTATTTTCAGAGAGCCAAGGGGCATATAGGATTTTTTAAAGTTTTATTATCTTATGTTTGACAGCATCAAATCACAACATTAAATCCTGTCACATAAAAGCTGGCATGTAACATATTATCCACAAAGACATTTTGAGTGACAAACAGGTTTTCCAAAAGCTGTACATTCCCAATCATAACCCTCATAAAAGTTCCATATTTAAGAAAAGAAGTGGAACTTTGCTGCCTCAGTGTTTGACACCCACATGACGATGTTCGCAACAGCTCTCTTCATCCCTTACCTTTACTTTCTACAAAATGAAATACCTGTTACCAGAGCATCCTCTCCTGATTAAAACAGTTAGAGGAGAAACAGGTAACAATTCATCTCTCCTTTTATTGCTCACCAGCAGCCTGGGTTTTCATATTGAATTTCACATTTTCCTTTCCTCCCAAAGTGCCCCTTTAAGAAAGAGAAGTCCAAGGGTGTGGATTATTTGTTTGACTGGAAATATATCAATGATTGTCATCATCTTTGACAGACATTTGAGGGTTTTATGTATTGTGCCCCGTGCTCAGAGCTGGGGAGACCAGGAAGAGACAAAGTTTCTACCCTCAAATCACTATTGCAGGATAAAAGAGCAGCAGCCTTGCCCTGGCTGACTCCCCTGCATACCCTGTATTTTTCCTGGGTGTCTTACATAGCACCTGCTAGGTGGATTTTGGGTAAATCAACCCCAAGAAGGGTCTATGACAGGCCATCAGATTAGGAACTTGGTATGGTTGAAGGGAAGTGATATTCCAATAGGGCCTACTAAAGGTGAGGAAACTTCTTCAAGATACTTTAGCCTAGGCCAAAACCCCAATCACCCCATGCTAGGTATGGTTCTGTGGAACTGCAATTCTAGACTGAGTAGTTTGGACTTCCTGATATCTCTAAAGGGGGTTTAAGTCCCTTTTAAAGCAATAATTATTAAATGGATGGTATATGCATGTCACTATGAAGAATGCAAAGCCAAAAAGTACATGGTCCCTGACCCCAGTCCTGGTAGGGGTGGCATGTGTAGAGACGCCATAGCAAAAAAATGGCCAATTTGAAGCAGGGTAGGTCTGGTGGCAGCTGGATGAAGTGGGACATTCCCCAATCAGAAATGCTTTAGTGTGGTGGTTTCAGTAAAGGAGCATGTTAGGAAGATGACTTGGATGAAGCATGGATGAGTGGGTTTGGGATGGTAGATGGGACAATATGAATGCTTCCAGGGCAAGAAAGGAAAGGGGGGAACAGAAGTACATGTTGGTGATGGACAAAATGTAGAGCAGGAAGACCCTTCAGTATAATCCCCCTTGTTGTGCAGGTGAAAAAAATGAGGCCACTAGAAGGGGAGTGACTTACCTAAAGCTATAACAAGAGTTAAGGGAGACTACCTAGGATTAGAGCCCAGTTCTGATTCATTACACTTTCTGCTGCAATGCATGGCCTTCACTGATTTCTTCCATTCGCATCACGCAATTTAAGTGATTCTAGTAAACCAAATGTAATTCTATTATACATACATGTATATGTAAATATTGTAACTATTCTATATGTGTGTATATGTATATGCATTTATATTTACATATACATATATATTGTGTGTGTGTGTGTCCCTTCTTTGCGTGTACTGCTTTTGACTCACTGCAACAGCATATTCATTGATTGCTGTTTTCGAGATGTCCTTTCCTCTCCTCCAGATATACTTTCCGTAGATTGTTAGAAGTAGGAGGAACCATAAAGATCAGCTTCTCCCAATGTCACAGATTTTCAGAGTTGGAAGGTACCTCAGAAGTCACCTAGTCCAGCCAATACCCAAAAAGGAATTCCCATTGCAACATACCCTAGTAGTCATCCAGTTCTGCTTAAAGACCCCCAGGGACAAGAATTCCATTACTTTCCAAGACAGTGCTTTCTATCTTTGAACAGCTATGACTATTGGGAATTTCTGGTATTGAGCCTGAGTTTGCCTCTTGGCTACTTTGACACTAGGCTTGATGTCTAGGGCCAAGAAGAATAAGTCTACTTCTCCCCTTTTTTTTTTCACATGACATCCCTTCAAATAAATGAAAATAATTATTATTTCCTCACTAAGTCTTGTCTTCCTCAGGCTAAAAGATCCCCATTTCCTTCATTTGCCTCTCAAACAGCATGGACTTCACGTCCTTTACCATCCTACTCACCTTACTCTGGACACTCTCCAACTTGTCAATGGCCTTCCCAAAATGTGGCATTCAGAGTTTAATGCAACTGTCCAGATGAGGTTTAATTAAGAAGTATACGTTTTCCCCACATCTAAGTTGGTTAATGAGTCTCTTTAAACAACCGCCTTCTTTCCCCCATTCAGAATTGTCTCTTTTCATGTCTTCAGAAATTTATGCTTGGGAACTTCCCATCTCTCCAGGGATGACTTTCCTTTAGAATTGTAGTCCATGACATACTATCTAACCACATGACTTTTTAAATGAGGGAACTTAAGCCAAAGAGGGCCCAAGGTCACACAGCTAGTAAGTAGCAGAACCAAGACTTCAACTCAGGGATCCTAACTCCAAGGCCAATGCTTGTTCCATTCTATCAGGCTGATTTTAGTAACTAGTTCATCTCTCACCACATCAGGGAAATGAGCACACACAGGATAATGTGAATAAAGGCTGATAATTGGTAAAAATGGCTTTTTAAGAGGGAGAAAAGTAGTGACCAGTGGGATTAAATAGTGAAGCCATGGAACAGACCAAGTACAATAGAATGTAAGCTTCTTGTGGTCAAGGACTGCTTTATTTTTTTCTCGGTATCTCCAGCACCTATCACAATGCTTAACACATAGTAGGCATTTAGTAAATGCTTGTTGAATGAATAAACGAATGGTATCTTGTGCTTTCACAAATCTGAAGTCCATGTATTCCAATCATCAAGCTGCTTACAGAACCCTAACCCTAACCCTAAATCCTAAAGCTGCTTACAGAAAATATTGATTAAGTGTTTATTATATACCAGGCATTGTGCTAAGTGCCAGGGATACAAGCAAATAGAAAGACAGACCCTGCCCTCAAGGAGATTACAATCTAACTGGAGAAAACAACACATAATAGGAAGCTGAAAATCCAGGTCCAGAGCATCTCATTGCTAAAACTTTTGTGGAAGCAAAACACCAAGATTTTCCTTCTTAGTTTTTAGATGGGAGAAGTGTCTTGATTTATTAGAGTTGTTGTGGGTCCAGAGGGAAAATAAAATAATAATAATAACAACAATAATAGCACACATTTATGTAAGAAGTAATTTGATCCCCTCCAGAACATAAGGGAGTATTTGATTATACAAATACACACACACACACACACACTTTTTTATATAATGCTTTGCAGTTACAAAAACTCATCCAGCAAACACATGATCTAATATGATCCCCACAACAACCCTGTGAAGGAGATGATTTAAGTATTAATATCTTCTACTAATGATTCAACTGAAGCTCAGAGATTTGAAACCTCCTTTCTCTCTCTCAAAGACAGTTTTCCAGTTGTAATCAAATTAAGCCAGATGGTTCCTTGATGCAGTTATGAAGGTAAGAAATGAAACCCTCACTATCACGTATACATAGTTCAGAGTGGCTTGGAAAGCGGAGAAGAATACTCAACCTGGCTAAGAGAAATGGCCAAGATCCCATGCCTTGTAACTCTCAGATCATAACTCAAACATAGGTCCTCAACTCCCAAGTGTAATGATCTTTCTACTATCTCAGGTCTCCCAGAAATGAATCCATTTCTGCATTTCTTCTATTTTTTTTCAAAAACTTAATTCCTACTAAGATTTCTTAGAAGAGCAATTGAGTATGTATACTCTACCATATTTCTCTGACTGATCTCAGCACATCAAGTATATTGGCTTTTGTTTTAAAGACAAGATGTAGCTCAGGAGCTTCCCTCTAAACTTGGTTCTCGTTCTAGGAAATGTAAAAGTTAGTTTAGTTACTTTGAATTCAATTCAATGCAACAAATACTGATGCTAAGCAAGGGGAGAAATAGAAAGTTTAGGTAATATGCTCCCTGTCTTCATGAAGCTTACAAAATACCATCAATAAAGCAGAGATTCACTGGGTGATCAGTCAGTCAACAATATTTTATTAAACTCTTACTACGTGCTACGCACACGCTGGACAAATAAAATAATGCTTGCCACGAGATTCTTTGTTTCAAGATGATCCTTGCAATATCTTCCTATTTCTCTTGTTTTACCGATTCCTTCTGTTAGAGCTTCGGAGCTAGAAGAAAGGTCAGAGGTCTTTTAGTTCATCGTCCCCCCAATTTTACAGATGACAAAGTTGAGAGAATGCCTTGGCCAGATGGCTCAGAATCTAGAACGAGCAAGTTACCTTCTTTTTGTTACAGCACTTTTTCAAGCAGAAGGTTTCCTCCTTCTAGCCCGGGGTTGGGGGATGGGGTCAGGGTCAATTCAGCGCACAGAGTGATTCAGGCCGCAGAAGCTTCACTTCCCAAGCTTTTGGAGAATAAAGTCCCGGAGAATGGCAGGTGCTTCCAAGATGACCTTGCCTTAGCAGGAAAAGCTGGGGAGTAGGGCTCCTAACCTAGAAAACAAAATGAGGGAGCAATCTCGTATTACCCCATTCTGCCTTTGCACCCTGACATCTTAGCTGCGCATGTGTGAAAGGCAGTTCTTCTGCCGATGGATCCGGGTCAGATCCCGATCCAGATCCAGGAGATCTGGAAGATACCTGGCTCTCTACTCCCATCTGTAGCTAGTTTAGCTTTGTAGCTTCAGCCTCAAGAAATGAGGAGAGACTGTCTGTGGTAAGATAGAAAGGGCACAAGAAAGGGGCAGCTAGGTGGCACGGTGGATAGAGCACCGGCCCTGAAGTCAGGAGAACCTGAGTTCGAATCCGACCTCAGACTAAACACTTGACACTTACTAGCTGTGTGACCCTGGGCAAGTCACTTAACCCCAATTGCCTAAAAACAAACAAACAAACAAAAAATCAGAAAGGGCACAAGTGAAAGACATGTCAGTTAGGAATCAGTGATCACTTAAGGGGTTCAGGTGGCAATACAAACATGCTGTTGGAAATTTTTAATTATTTTCACCCGTCTTTCACTCTTTCAGGCATCTGGTGCCTCTCACTGTCTCCCTGTTGCCCACTCCTTCTCTCCTCCCTCCCCCCACATCATAGCAAAGATTTATCTGAAATCAATCTCTTTTTAAATTTATTTTAAACTTAAATACAAAACAAGAAAAAAAACATTGTCATGTGCACAGCAGGACGCAAGAGAGGATTCAAAATATACAGCAATAAATTTCCATTTCAAGAAAACCTTACATAATAAATACTACACATTGTGTTCAGAGCTGTCCATCTTTGTTTCCTTGTAAGTTTTCTTTTGTTCTCTGCCGTGCACTTTTTACTTTGTTCCCCCTCCCCCTTGCTCTCCCCTCTCCCAAGGAAGCTACAATTAAGCACAGATACATACACAAACACGTATACATACACATATACACACACATATATACATACATACATACATACATATATACACATGTACACAAAGATGAATATATACATACATACACACCTACATACATACACTTACATAAAAATGCATATACTTAGATATCCATACTCATAATACAGGCATATACATTCATATGCGTCTATGTAAGATGATACTCTACTTGTTTGTCCTCTGTTTCTCTGAGGGTGGATGACATTTTTCTTGCTAAGTCAAGTCTTTCCATATTTCTTAAGTCCACCAATTCATCATTTTCCTATACCACAGCAATATTGGCTGGTAACACTTGCCAGTTGAAGCTCTTTTCCTTATTTTGAGCCTCAGGTCAGAAGCTCAAAACCTCATGAAACCTCTTCTGATTCCCCAAGGTAAAAATGCTCAATCTTTTCTTCCTTGAATTTTAGGCATCTCTGTTTGACCTCTCCTAAACACTTAAACATATTCTAACTTATAGCAGTAAAAGTTGCTTGAGGGTAAGAACTGTCATTTTTTCCCCCTAGTATATAGCACAGGGCCTTATTTGTAGTAGGTATTTAATAAGTCTTTATTGAATCAAATTGAATTAAGCTAAGTTAATTTGTCACATATTTTATTATGTTTATAATAATTACATGATAATTTTGAATAAGTTATAATCAGTTCATATAAATCACTATAATTAGTATTGCTCTCAAACAACAAACCAAGATTTTGTAGATTTTCTCTTCTTTCTTAACTTTCTGGTAAACAATGTCAGTATTGACAATTTCTCCTAATACAGTGTCATCTTTAGCTGTACACACAACCCTGATACTCCTAATCATGACATTCCCAGATGACAAGTCATTAAAACTTCCCAACAGTTTAATGCCCTCATTTTCTGGCTCAAAATAAGGAAAAGAGCTTCAACTGGCAAGTGTTACCAGCCAGAGATGTCTACAAAGAGACTCTGTGTGTGTGTGTGTGTGTGTGTGTGTGTGTGTGTGTGTGGTGAGCAGAGAAAAGCTGAAAAAAGTTACTTTAGGTGTAAAAATGAAGAGTTGAATGGGGATCTCCTTAATCAACTTGATGAGTTTTTCAGGCTATTCTCTTTGGTGCCTTTATTGGGGAGAGCACAGAAGACATCTGATTAAGTCTCAGTGACTGGAGAAATCTTCAAATGACTTGGTTGCTTTGGAGAGGTCTCTAAGCACCTCCTGGGGTGAGTTTCACTGATGGTGACTCTCCCTCTCCTCACATACCCCTTCCCTCCAAGATGAACTAATTGATTGGTACTCTTGGAAGGATAACTGTGCTTCTAAAAGGAATTTTCCCTCTCTGCACCCATAAAAATAAGTTGACAGTCTGCTTTCTCCTTTTTTTTTTTTACTTTTTCCTTTCAGCTAGTGACATCCTAAGACTTTAGCAGAAGAGGTGAGATTCTCCACCTCCCCCCGCCTCCCCACTCTGCCAACAGGAGCTGACTCTCAGAAGAAAGACATGACAAGCTACATGTGGTTGCTCACATGGCCTGAAAGGAGATTTGTTGGGTAGTGCCTGCCTAGGTCATTGCCTTGTGGAAAACAAACAACAAACAAAAAAACAAGCATGAGAGTTTAGGCATTCAGCCTTCTTTCCAGAGAATGGGAACTTCCTGAGCAGCATTCCTCTTGGAGAGAGAAGAGGATCACTTATGTTGCCTCATCAAGCTGGAGAATCCTCAAGGAGCTAGAGCCATGACATGGGGGAGCAGAAAGTCTTGGACTATTCTATTCACATAGTTAGGTCCGATGGAATCATTTATCTAGCAGCCCCCAAAGTGTGTTTCCCTTCCAGGAGATTTCTAAACCACAATGTGACACTATGAATCTTCAGGGCAGAAGAGAGGAGGGGGTAGAAAACTTGTAAAAAATGAGGAAAGCACCAGAGAAGTAGGAGAATTGATTACTTTCAAGCTATTGAGTCCATTATGTGTTTTCTACCTTTTATGAATCTCTAGCATTTTAGGGATTTTCTTTAGTGAAGTAAAGGGTACACCGTACCAGATAACTGTATTTATTACCTTGGGTGCTTGTACAGGAACTCAGAACTTCTTTTATCTTCCTCTCTGGAACTCTAAAGCACAAGCTATATTCTAAGATTTCCCAGGTTAAGCTCTAGGTGAGGCAATAGAAGTCCAAAGAATATTGACTGCAACTAGTCCATGTGAGCCCAGAATTTGAGAGTCATGGGTTTCATAAACTGGAAAGTAAGAAGAAGGTAGAAAAATTTAGTTAAATTGTTGATTTGATTTTGTTTATTTGTTTCATTTGTTTTAATTTGTTTCATTTGCTTCAATTTGTTTCACTTGTTTCATCTGATTACTGCTTGGAGTGGGAATGACGGGGTAATGCAGGTGGTGACACCCTAGAGGCTGAGTTGTGCCACTGGATTTCCACTCTTAGCATGTATCTGGATTATGTGACTTACTCTCATACACTACAGTGACCTTGCTAATTCTAAATAGAAAAATTGGGACAGGAACTCAGATTCCTTCATTAGAACTCATACTTTCTGACCCTGAAGCTAGCTCTCTTCCTTCTACATTTTATGTTAGCCCAAATGGGCCAAGAAGTTGCACCCTTAACCTTGCAGATGAAAAAAAAAATGAACATCAGTTTCATAACCACAGAAAATAAAAGGGAGTTTCACCATTTACCACCACATCAGTGTCTTCTCAGTTTACTCCTTGCTTTGTTAAAAAAAGAAAAAGAAAAAAAGATTTATTCATCTGTGCATGTGAATAATTTTTAAACAAACATCCCAGAATTTCTACGTATAGACAAATCATATTCTCTTTCAAGTGATTCTCTATTTCAATGATGCTGTCATGCTCAGCAAAATTTTGGAGCTCTTCTTATACATCCCTGAGCCAATTAAAAACCTTTATTTTTACAAGCCACGCAAGAAAACCAGTTTTATTCATTTATAAGACCACACTTTGTTTCTGATTCTGAATCATATCATCTATTTTGTCTTCCAGGCCTAGATTCAGGTAACTTCTGACTGCTTCTTATATTATACCCACTGTCAATAAAGAAATGCCACTGCTAAGGATTTTTAAAAAAAACAACTTGCCAAAAGGCCTTCAATAGGACAAAAGAAGACTACAGAAGACACAGAAACTAGGGTCTCTTCAGAAGCTGTTAATTCCTAGAAAAGATCAGCTCTTGGGGTATAATATGAACTCAACTGATCCTGGGCGCTCACTCACCTTGTTCCTTTAACACCACCACATTAAGGTTGGTGATTCATAGCCAATTCATATACTAAGACTGCACTCCTGGTTTTGGCCTTTAAAAGGCAAACCAGAAGTTGAAGAAGACAGAGAAATGCAAACAGTAGAGGTACTAACTCAGAAAGCAATCTCATTTCCCAGAAGGAAAGTCTGTGTATCTTTGTGGCCCCTAGAGTAACTATGAAGTCCCAGAAATGGCTACAGAGATGGCAGCCATGGAGTCACAAGGAGCTCCTGTGCCAAGTTGTCAGCTTCAGTAACACAAGCCAGCCACAGTGGAGTAGTCTGCTGTACTAAGCAGAAGGATCTACAAGACCAAGCAGAAAAGTTCCTGAACCAAGTCAGAGCTAGAGCCAGAAATAAATTAGGAACAGGGAGCCCTGGCACGGAGGAACAAATCCACACCTGACTCCGCACTAGGACCGTGAATTATGAGGACTACGCAAATCTGGGAACAGAAGTCACTGCTATGGATAAACTCTGGGTGTTTTCCCCTTTGGAAAGGGCTTCAACTCTTGACAGAACTATAATTCAAGAGAACTGTCTAAGATCGTGTGCCTTACTAGAAAAGAGTTGCTTAACTCTATACTGTTTTCCCCTTGTTGTAAAGTGAGGGGTCTCAAGCCCACAATTTTAGTATAAGTGTGTGCACCATATAGGTACTTAGCAGAGGCAGGGCTCCCCAGAAAGGAAAGGATTATCTTGATTTTTTAATGGTCTCAGGTGTGGGTCTTTTACAATTTTTAACAGAATTATACATGATCTATCTTATATTTGATATGTAGCTAGCCTGAATGTTTGTGTGGGAGCTGAGAGTCCTCCCATTTTTTGTGGAAATCTTGAAGCCTAATTTTGATGTTTTTAGGAGAAATCTTGGGCAGGAACATGACCCAAAAAGAAATTATTTGAGAGTGAAATACTAAGCTTGAACCCAATCATGTAAACTTAGAGCTTTGGTTCTGGGTTATGAGTTGCACGTGTTTTTCATTTGCTTTGTTTTTCCATTACAGGAGATTAAACCAATCTCCTTCCCATTGTTATGGGACTTGCTGAGGATGAATTATAGCATTCAAGGATTTGATACAATTAATAATATTTCATCTGTGAATAGGAACATTTAGAAAACATTACCATCGTTAGAGAATACTTCTTTTGTTTGCTCTTTGGACAGGGCATGCTCAATATATTGTTGAACATTTTAGGCAGATGTTTATTTTGCTGTTGAACAGCTTTCTTGATGTCAATCATTTGACAAAGTTATCTCCATAGTCCTATCAATCATGGGGGTTTGCATGATTATAATAGAGGTGTGACAGACACCTTATTGAAGGAGAGCCTTCAAGCCTTCATTTTGTTCCATTGAGCCAAATAATTTGCAAAAATAACAAATCAAGAGAAACCAAGACATCTATACCTCTCAGTCAATTGCATATGATTGGAAAGATGGGATCAGCTGCATAACATTGTCTGTTTTAATTTTGTATCTGTTTATTGGCCTTTTGGTTTTGTGTACAAATGCTCCTAAAATGACACAGATTAATTGAGGTAGATTAGAATTGATCTCTATTCAAACTTATTTTCTAAACTGATTTTCACTTTTATGTGAGGAATGATGATTGTCTTCCATCCTTCTCCTCTGTGAAGATTTGCAAATGAACAGAACTCTAAACTTGTATCTACTATATCACTCTGCTTGTCAAAGACATAATTTACTCTCTAAGGCTGTTTCTGTGCTCTTTTGACCTCCCCATTGTGGTGACTGTTTTACATTAGCTCAACTCCTCAAAGAAACATTTATAATCACAGTCGATGTCTTTAATTTTATTCATTGCCTATTTTCCAGAGTCAGCTCATTAAACAGGCTAGGCTGGAGTTGCTACAAATGCACAGTGCCCTGTTCTCATTTTGATCCTTTCTTCTCATTTATCTTTGGCTTAATCAGTAAAAATGATCTGAATGCACACACGCTGCTAATTCTGAAATGACTGTTAGAGTTTAAGTAGTTTCTTGTCTAGGATATAGTCAGTTTCACTTTTTGTGACATCATTAGGTTTATGCCACATTCAATTCAATTCAACAAGCATTTATTAATGCTTATTATCTATTATGTACAAGGCACTGGGCACATAGAGACAAAAATAAACATAGTCCCTGCCTCCAAGGAGCATAAATTATATTGGGAAAGACAATATGTACACAGGTAAATATATAAGATAAATACTAGGTAATTTGTCAGGGGACAGCACTAACAATTGGGGCTTCAGAAAAAGTCTCATGTAGAGTGACACCTGAGCTGAACTTTTGAGGGAACTAGAAATTCCAAAAAGTGAAGGTGAGTAGGGTGTGAACAAGCTGTTGGCCTCTCACTCTAGAACCATATTTTCCATCATAGTTTTCACCCTTCCCACACTTTTTCGTTAAAGTCACTGGGTATTAGCATACATATTGATTTAATTTGGAAGCTCCTATCCAGTTTCCCATAGAACTTCTTTACTCTTTCATCCTCTAGAATAGGTGATAGCACAGAGACTGTGCAAAGATGGTAGAGTGAGAGGACCCAAGGAAGCCAGTCTCTTCCCCTACCTCACAAAAGCCAACAAATAGAAACACTAAATAGAAGAAAGATAGCTAAAAACAGTAACCCAGATTAAAATGAACAGAATGCCAGGTCAATGAAAGAATACTATGGAATAATTGGATCAACTAAAATACTAGGAACAATGAAGAGTGGGGGGGAGAGGGAGTCCATGCAAAGCATCCCAAAAGATATACTCAAGTGGGTAACATATTCAAACATATATTGGGACATAAACTGTAATCATTAACATAAACTGTAATCATGGTCTGTCTACAGGTATGCCCACTGTGAGTGCAAGATGCATAACTGTCCATTGAAATGATATTTCTTATTGCCTTTGTATACTTAATGAAATACTTCCTGCCAACTAATGTAGTCACCTCTCCAAGAAGAACCCATAAGCTGCCCTCCTATTTAACTATAACTTCCCATCTCCTTCTTAAATTTGTGGCAGAATATGCATTTGGGTCATTTTCTCTAGGAATGCATCAATTGATTGAGCACCAGGCAAGGATCACATATTGAGTGCCAACACTTCAAGAAGTTGTGACTCCATTGGTGTGTGAGTACTTCTTCACTGACTCAGATTGTGACCTTTTTATAACTGGGTAGACAGTCTTCAAGACTGTAGCTGCAGCTAAAAATGTCATCACACTGTAGCCAACTGTGATATACTTCTCCAAACCTAGTGAGGCTGGTTCTTAGAGGATAGCAGCATCATTGAGCCTCTACTTATTCGGTAGGAACTGCCAGGGTTTATGCAATAAATAAAATTAAGTAAATAAATAAAACAAAACACATAGCCTTTGGGAATGCTAGTTTACTCATACAATAGAGCCTCACAGTAGAACTTAAGAAGAGGAAGAGTACAACTCTTTATGACCAATCCAGCTCATTCTACAGATGAGAAACAAACAAGGTTAAGTGACTTGCCCAGGGTCACACAGCTAGTTAATGTCTAAGGCTGGATTTGAACTCAAGAAGATGAGTCTTCCTGATTCCAGGCCAGGTGCTCTGTGCACTATGGCATCACCTAGCTACTCCAACCCTATCCCTCTCTCCTGTTCCTATCCACTCAGCCCCCTTCACCTAAGTCAATGTCCTCTGGGATTGGAGTCCTAGATGTGATTCTGTAAGAGCATTTTCCATAAATAGAGCCTAAATCTGACTTTCCACAAGTTCGGTCCATTGCTCCAATTTCTGCCTTGTGCACTTGACGAGTGTTATCCTTCTTCCCCATGATAGGACCATGTTCCCTCTGAATCTTCTCTCCATGAAGCTAAATACCCTCTGTTCCTGTAACCTATTTTCATCTGATGCCATTTTTAGTTCTTATGTGAAGGAGGCTGTCTCTCAAAAATAAAATTTGAAGTTCTGGGAGAAAAA